GGAGGGGAGTCCCCATTACCTGTAAAGCACTTTGAGTGGAGTGTCCAGAAAAGCGCTATATAAGTGTAAGCAATTATTATAACTATTAGCAAAAAGGCAGCCTATCAAAAGAAACAGCTAAAAGTTCATTCCATGCTGAAAGGTACATAAAAGAAACACAAAGTTTCAGCCGTGGAGCCTTCTTCAGGTATGTAGGTACAAAATAGCAAACTCCAGCTTCTATGAAAAGAAAGCTATTAATGTGCTAATTAGATATTTTCAAATAACATGCGTGAGCATGCGTAGGCTGCATGGTTTATTCCATGCTGAAAAGAAGAAAAGAAACTCAACGGCCTAAATGTTTCTCTTTTCAACATGGAATAAACCTTTAATTGCTCCTAATTACATATTTTGATTTTCTATCATATTCTGTATGATTAATATATGTGTGCTGTGTTCCGAACCTTAGCATGCTGATGTCATAGCTGATTTCACTGTTATCATCGCACACTCCAAAAATGTCAAACGCATAACAATTGATAGAAGGTCAAAATCTATTTACTAAAAAAAAAAACATTATTCTCTAGCAGTGAAAGTTCCAAAACAAAAGAAGATACAAAAATAGAAAATGATGAAAGTTATTATTATTATAATTAGAACACCCCTCATACTAAAAGCTGGATACACCTTGAAATACTGTACTGTATGTATTCAAACTGTCAGAAAATACTTGTCACTAATAATATGCGATCACATGCAGCCCTGGTCTCCCATAGTGGAAGATGCCTTAAAGCTGCCAAACAGGGCAGCTCAGTCCTGCCTCCCCTACAGGGTACGAATACACAGCTGTTGGCTCTGAACACCTGGGGGTGAGTCATGAGTCTGCTTAGGAGGCGTCAAAGAGCCCCAGTCAGGACAGACCTCAGGACTTTTGCAGAAGGAAAGATTGCAAGAGAGAGATTGCAGTGGTTGGACCCAGGAGAGGACTCAACTCTGAGACCAGGGACTGGCAACAGCAGAGGCAGGCCCCAGCATCGCCCGCCTACCCCCTCTAAGCAAAAGCAGACTTAGAAACAAACAGGGTAGAGGGGAGAGACACCAGGAACACATTGTTCAGGACACCTGGGACTGAGGAGGATCCCTCACACTTCTGTTTCTTTGTTGTGACAAGGTTTCTGACAAAGGTTACCAACTTGAGCTGGTTCTGGAGAACAGAAATGCCAGACTGTTTGTCTGGGACAGTTGGTTCTGGTATCTGGTGTCCTTGGACTGCTCTAAGAGTAAGTCATGTGATGTGTTCTGTACATTGGGTGGGCAGTCATAGGAATGGCTGTGTTACGAGGTCACTTGTATATAATGGAAAGATTTAAACTGTAATAAAATGGGATGTTATACATGATAATGTCTTGTCTGGTCTGTGGATACACTGGAGATTCTGGGAGATAAAATAACTTGTTACAAGGGAGGGTTCTAGTAACCTTTATAATTGTATAATTGTTATCAGCAACATAGCAAGGTAGTACCTGCATTTAGGGGCTACCCAAACTGTGACACACTGCTACTCTATTTTTGATTAAGATACATCTCAGAGATTATGCTAATGAAAATACACAGGTACAGACTTTTAATTTAATAATAGGAGTGACCAAGCCTTTCAGAAATTTAGTTCAAAGAGAATCACCCCCGCATAGAGTCTGGAAACAACTGTCCGTTACACTTGGTGGGTTATTTGGCTACTGGGAACATTGATCTCAGTCTGAGTGTGTGTATGTCTATCTGCCTGTGATGGACTAGCATCCTGTCTACCCTGCCTTGCATTGAATGCTTCCCAGGATTGCCTCAGAGCCACCCTGACCCTGAATTGGAAGAAGGGGTTAGCAAACGGATGGGTGGCCTTGTGGTAGAAGAAGCTGCAGTTGTTTCTTATTATCAATTGCAATAAGTTAATTAATGATCTTGAGTCGCGGAGCACAAAGGCAAAGATGTTCAGTCATGCTAAAGTTGGTTTTCTGGATTGTAGGAAGAAACACAAGAGGCTGAATTTATCATCAAACCTTGGGTGATTTATTGAAGGCTCTCAAGCTTTTGTTCAAGTTTGTAGTGATGGCAAAATCTGACCAAAACCCCTTCATTAATAAAGCAAGCGTATGGATAAGGGTGGAATGGTGATGTGGTGGTCTGCATCGTTGCCTCGCAGTGCTGGAGTCCATTCCTGTCCATTACTGGGGCGCTATCTGTGTGGAGCTTGTTCTCCCTGTGTTTGCTTGGGTTTCATCCGGGTGTGTCTCTCCCACAGTCCAAAGACATGCTGGTTGGTTATTTGGCTTCTGTAAACATTGGTGTGAGCATGTGTGTGTTTGTGTCTGGTTAGGCTCCGGCTCCCCAGCGACCCTGTACTGAGTGAAGAGGATTAGAAAATTGATGGATGGATGAATCTGGATATAATTTACATCAACTTTGTAAAGCCAATCATTTCAAATTCTTAAACTATTTCATGTGCCTTGGTAAATTAATCTGCGAACAATTAGAAAATAATACAACATTATACAATATTAATTTCACCAACCAGTAAGTGATTTTATTTCTAGTAACTGTAACAACAGCTTTCTGTTTTCTGAGAAATAATTGTTACAGGAACATTCAGATGATGCAAGATGTTATACATTTTGCTGGGATCTAACTTAAAGTCTGAAAAGATTAATTCCAATTTCTTCCAAGTGAGACGCAGTATTGAAACATTAATGGAACACGGAAATTGGATCAGGATGCGTTCTTCCTTGTAATCACAGCCCTGTGTAATTTCATCTCTCTCCGTGGAAGGAGATACAATGCTCAGGGCGCAATCCTGTATCCAACTTCCTATTACATTTTGCT